TAGTCAGTTTTTAAACTTTTTAATATTTAAACTGTAGAGCAGGTAGAAGAAAATTATAAACATATAAATTGCTTAATGACAAAGTCTAGAATCAGAAGACCTGGATCGAATTTCTGGCTCTATCATTGCCTTATTGAATACTTTTGAGAAAGAAAAAATTTTCTCACTATTTGTAGTCTTATAACATTCATTATGACTGAGTACACAATAAAAATGACAGTAACACCTTGAATGTATAGCCCCTAAGTAGTTAGAAGCATTTCTTATGAATTATTTATTTGTTCAATATCCCTTTGGGGTAGGCTCGCATTGTTTCTTCTAGATAATAATAAACGGGGAGATATAGCCCTTCCTGTAATGATGTTAAAATACTGATTGTGAGATGGTTTTCTACTTTATCGAACATCATGAAGATTCATGAAGCTGTCTGAGGCTTTATGCTCTCAGGAGGGGAAAAAATGAGTTATATAAGGTAGTTTTACAGCTCTTATACCTCTGATTTTTTAAGAATTCAAAATATTTTGGGGTGAAAATATGTACAAATTATTTCAGGCCGGGTGTGATGGCTCACACCTATAATCTCAGCACTTCGGAAGGCTGAGGTGCGCGAATCACTTGAGGTCAGGAATTCGAGATATCTGGCCAACATGGTGAAACCCCATCTCTACTAAAAATATAAAAGTTAGCTGGTTGTGGTAGCAGGTGCCTGTAGTCCCAGCTACTCAGGAGGCTGGGGCAGGAGAATTGCTTGAACCCAGGAGGTGGAGGTTGCAGTGAGCTGAGATCACACCACTACAGTCCAGCCTGGGCAACAAAGCCAGACTCCATCTCCAAAAAAAAAAAAAAAAAAAAAAAAAAAAAAATCAACAACAAAAATTATTTCAGTATTTAGCTTATTCCTGGATTTTTTTTCTCCATATTTTTCTAGAGACACATTTGTTTTTCCACACCCACTCAAACCATCTGTGTACCAGGCAAGTTTTCTGAGATGCAAAACCAAGTAAAATATGTCCATTTTATTTGTTTAGAAAGAACTATGACTAATGATACTGTGGGAAAAAATGGTATAGTTAATAAAAACTATATTCTCTGTATGAATGCCTACTGAAGCTTAGCAGCTATGGCCACTCAAAGCCATGCCCTAAGGATGGGTGTCAACACCTGTACTTTACAAACCAACCCTCCAAAGAACTCCTACAAGAAGCAGAGTCCATGTCTGCCCAGGATCTGGAGGGAGCCCCTGTGAAATGGGATTTTTTTAACACCATCAAATGGGGAATATTTTTAAAACGTATGCAATTTTGAATGCTATATTCCTATATGAACATTTGCTTTACATAAAAATGTTTAAATTTATTTACCATTAATTAAATAGACTTTTTAAGAAGAGGTACCGTATTTGTTATTGCTTTGAAACACTCACTAGGACACTGGCCTATAATCTGGGGGTTATTTTTACCCCAGTTTGAAAAGCACAGGGTCCTAGGACATTGTAGCCCAAATCATGGGATTTTTGTTAGAATTTAAGAAAATCCTTCCAGATGTCCCCTTTTTACTATGCTATATGTAAACTCCTGAAAAACTATTTTGCCTACATGCTAATGAAATCTTTAAAACGTAGCTGTAAACACCTAATTGGTAGCATTTTCACAGTCAAGGTGATTAAAGAATATATGTCAGCTTTCTCAAATAGAAATTATTCTGTTTGAGGGAAATGATCTTTCTGAGGTGAGAATTACCTATCCACTTCTCTCTTTAGATCTCATTAAAACTGGAACCCAAACTAAGGAGTTATAAAACTTGAGGCTGTGTGTGTGCGAGGGAGCATTTAGAAAATGTGATCAAGTAGAAGGCTGGTCATGCTCAGATAAGAATACAAGAAGTGAATTATTTATACATTCAAATTTCAGAATATTTGTAAGGCCTACCATGTGTGCTGCTAAAAGGCTTTTAATTTAAAATAATTTTGTTAGATAATTCTTTTTCAAGTGACATTATGATTTATCGCCACTAATCAAGATTCTGATCCCTTATAGACTTCTTATTTGTATCTGTTTTTGTTCTTTGTTACATAAATATGAGATTTATATATAAAATTCTGACTATGTAATATAGGGCTAATGAGTCACAGATGGAAAGATGCTGGCATATTACCATCTAATAACATTTTAAACTCATATTCCATAGTAAAACAAAAGCAAATTGTATACATCTGTTTTCCAACTTGTAGCATTTCTGAATTTATGCAGAATCTATATTTAAAGGACTTGCATTTAGAGAGAAAAAAAAAGAGGACATAGGTCACCTCAAAACTACGCGGCCACTTACTAGCCTTATCAGAACAAATCTGGCTAGAGAGATAAGATTTTCTTGGTTTTGCTTCCTGAGAAGTTGTAGTACTGAAGACTGAGAATCAAAGCCATTAGGGCTGAAGAAATGTCTTCAGACTGCAAACTAATTTTACTGCCTCTCTTAAAAAGAAAAACATATCTCTAATATGAGGAATGTGGAGAGAAAATATCCACAAAACTAATAAATTTAAAAATCTTGAAAATTTCTATGCTTTCCTAAAAATATCTGCAAGATAAATTTGGGTGGGAAGAGGGAAAGGGCAGGAGGGGTGCCCAGGCCATGTATTGCTGTGGTTGTTGTTTATTTTATTTGTATGGTAAACATGTTCTGTGTTTTTTTTTTGGGGGGGGAGGTGAGTAGGAGAATAAAAATCTTTAGTTTCACATGTTGTTAGAAAAGAAATAGAACAAAGACAAAATTTCTCTCTCAGACTTACCCAATTGATAACGCCTGTGAGGAGAAATTAGTACTAGTTATTGAAGAATGACTCTCGAAAACATCTGTCCCCTGTTCTTCTTGGATAAGGAATTTAAAACTGCTTTTCTGCATTAAGGCGTTGTGTGAACTGTCAAGTTCTTTTGGAAAAGTTATGTGACAGAAGTGATTACTGCAGAGTGTGGCCGTAAATCCCCCTGACATGAAATATACAGATTTTCATCCACCACCTCTGCATGAGTTCCTGAAACAGGAGAGATCTGAGATTTGTCATATGATTGGAGAGAGAAATTTTGATATGTGGGTGGCAAGACTATGTTTTGTGAGGTGTACTACGTTTATTCTGGGGAATAAGTCTGATCTGATGGCAAAATTTTGTTCCCTGTTGTTGTCCAAAAAAGAATTAATACATGTATTGTATGTCCTGAGTTGTAAACAGAATGTCAATGGAAGGAAACTACAGTGTTGTTTTCGTAACAGTGTCTATAGTTATCTCCATTTTGGACTAACATTTTGTAATTAAGATGTTGCAATTTTGTAAGTAAGATTTCAGAAATATTCCATGTAGCAAACTCTTACCCTCTGTAGACACAGATCCCATTGTACCTGCCCCAGGCTCAGTGACAATGAGCCCTCACTCTCCCCATTCCAGGCTTTAAGAAATGATTGGTTTGGCTGGGCATGGTGGTTCACACCTATAATCCCAGCACTTTGAGAGGCCAAGGCAGACAAATCACTTGAGGTCAGAAGTTCAAGACAGCCTGGCCAACATAGTGAAACCCCCTCTCTACTGAAAATACAAAAATTAGCTGGGTGTAGTGGTGTGCACCTGTAATCCCAGCTACTTGGCAGGCTGAGACAGAGAATCACCTGAACGCAGGAGGTGGAGGCTTCAGTGAGCTGAGATTGTGCCATTGCACTCCAGCCTGGGTGACAGAGCAAGACTCTCTTTAAAAAAAAAAAAAAGGTCAGACATGGTGGCTCATGCCTGTAATCCCAGCGCTTTGGGAGGCCAAGGCAGGTGGATCACTTGAGGTCAGGAGTTCGAGACTAGCCTGGCCAACATGGTGAAACCCTGCCTCTACTAAAAATACAAAAATTAGCAGGGCACGGTGATGCATGCCTGTAATCCCAGCTACTAGGGAAGCCGAGGCAGGAGAATCACTTGAACCCAGGAAGTGGAGGTTGAGACTTTGTCCAAAAAAAGAAAAGGTTTATTTTGGGGTCTCAAGTATCTAATTTTGTTTATGGTGTGTCAGACAAGGCAAGACTTAGAGCCAGGAAAGGGAGACACTAGGTATGTACTTGTTTTGTTTGTCCCCCAGTGAAATGTCTGTGTGACGTTTTATGTCGTGTTGTTTTGGTGCTGTGCTATGTCCATAGGGCCTGCCAGGCTTCCCCACAGTTGCTGCCCTGCACAGTAATCAGATCCTCACCGTCAAGGTTTGTGGTTGTCACCTATGCCTGCATAGTCAGAGCTGCAATCAGCATAAGCGTGAGCAGGAACCATTTAATTGGCTTGCCGAGCCCGTTAGCTTCCTCTCATCATATATATCAAGTTATTGGGCACTTGGGACCCCACTTGCATCAGTGAGGTCGAATATCAATTAAGAGGGTGTATTCTGAGCATACTTGAGAGGAGGATATTGATGTCAAACAGGTACTGTGAAGAGAGGTGGGCATAACGATCTAGAACCATACCACGCCTTGATGGCTTAATTTGTATGCATTCTAATGCTCTGTAATATTTTTCCAGTCAATTAAATAATCCTAAGTACTCTCTCTGGACTTCGGGCATCAATAAAATGGCAGTCGAGTTCATGCCACATTATGCTGGTTGACAAGTCTGACGGAAATGGAACTGGCATTTCGTCTCTAGACTTTCTTCTCAGAGTGAAGAATGCAGGGGTGCACCTGCTTTCCTGCTTCTGGGAATAAACTACATTAAAAAGATCCAACATCCACAGCAAAATTAAGGGGCACAAAAAATGTTCATTACTACTGAAGATATCTGGTTTCACCATCCCATTTCAGGATATTTCTTTCAAGAAGATCCAGTGGGTCTAATGTTAGACATAAGTGCCAGTTCTATTTTTTTAAATCATTATAAGTCTAATGTATATATCTTTATTTCTTTCTTGGGGCCTTCTGATGTCTATTCTTCAACTCTCTCATCTCTGAACTTCAACCTTTGACCTCACCTGACTGATCAGATGGTGTTTCCTAAAATCAATCATGGGTTTCTCTCTGCTGATCAGCAGCTCATTAAACGCCGCCTGATTAAGGTAGTGCTTATTCTTGCTGAAGTCTGATTTCTTCTTTACAGTGGATATTGCTCTGTGCACCTATTGCTTTACAATTTATCTATTATGGGTGGGGTGTGAGTGGCGGGTGGGTATTTATTTGGAGATATCCTCAAACAAAATTTCATTTAGTGAGCTGCATTTGTTTGAAATGTTAGATGACAGTACCAAAAAAAGATATTAAAAGCGTATCAAATTTTTTCTTAGTTAAAAAAATGTAAATTGTAACCACTAACAGATCCAGTTTCTAAGCTTTCCAGCTTTGCTAATTTATAAATTATCATGCCATATGATGGGAACCTCATATGCTTAATTTTATAGGGTATGAAAAAGTAAACACATTTGTCTAACTATAAATGCAGCCATTTTGTTAAATGTGGTGAACGTAACTGATGCAGGGTTGTTATGGATAAAGTAATGCACATGTTTTATACCAGCTCTGACTACAGTGGTGACATATGCCCTATTTCCAAGAACTGTAAGCGCTGGTTCCTGAACTGCTTTGATTTTAAGAGCATCTACTCAGTCACCCAGCATGAATATTTATTTGCTGCCTGCTGGGAGGCAAATTGCCTACAGGCTTTATATTTGTGACTGTTCTGGTTCTTTTCATAGTGTAAACGTGGATTAGATAATACAAATTTAAGGTGCTGAAAAGAAGACCTGGGTCTTTATCTTTCATGGTTATTGCTGGTCTGTTCCCTTCTCCATCACAGGGTGACCAAGGACAGGCAGGGCCTCCAGGACCCCCAGGCCCTCCAGGCCCAAGAGGACCACCTGGGGACACAGGGAAAGATGGCCCCCGTGGAATGCCAGGAGTACCTGTGAGTTGCTTTTTGGATCACTTGTTCTCAAAAGTTTTGTTTCGTGTTAAGGGCTGAGAACTAGGGTGGAGTAGGGTGGTGGGGGCATCAGGTCAGGGGGTCCAGTGAGCGTCGTGGGTTGAGGGAAGTGGGATGATGGGAAAGTCCCCAAGCAGCACAAGGGACTCCCAGGTGCATTCCTCTTTACCACACAATCCACTGGGGATCCAAGAAAACCACTAGAGACACCTGGAGGCAGCCACTACCCTGTTTTTAAGCCTCAAGAAATCTGTGATTGGAGTTGCGGGACCCCATTTGTCTCTTCGCTGCCATAGTGTGCACCAGGGCCTTTGGTTTAAATGGGAGATTCATTTGAAAAACTAAGTAGGAGACTAATAACATTTTCCAAAGGCTCAAGATCAGACCGATAAAGTTCTATGCTATTTACGGAAAGTAGAGGAAAGGAAATGTTCCAATATTTAATCCCTTATAAATAACTTGAACCTCCAAAATTGCTAAAAACCGTAAAATGAATGATTAAAACACCAGTGGGTGTGGTTTAAATGTCATTTGTCTTTTGTATGTAAGGCTTATTCATAGAAATGATTTAAAAGCAATCTCAATATTTGGCTACTAAGTTTGGTCAAGTGTCAATGATATAGTGGTAAAAGGCAGAAGATAAATAGTTTGGTTTCATAGAGGCAATCCAGCAATTTAAAGAAATATATGGAAAAGGTCAAAAGTTTTAGATTTATTTTATGACTTTAGGACTAGAAATTAAGGCTTATTACTAAATTAAATTATTTTTCAATATATTTATTTAATGAATTATTTTCTTTGTTTTTTGTAGTACATAATAATAATGAAAATATTTATCCCCAAAGCAGAAAATTTTGAAAATAAGACCAAAAAGAAAAAATAAAAATTTACAATAGTCATTAATGTTTTGGTATATTTTCTTTCATTTTTATATGCATATGTTTATGAATTTTTTAAAAAGTATGACTTTTTATAAGAATATAACATACTTTAGAACTTCTGAGACAGCCTCATAAGCCCATATCCCTTTCTAAAAGCTGCTGTGAATTCACTGATATAAAATGAGGAATGGTCTTTCAACATATGATTTGCTAGTTGTTAGGACTGCTTTCACTCAACCTTCAAAGACAATTGTTGAATTCTATCACTGTCTTCTAATGCCTCACTTTTTCTCATAATGATATTCCAAAAGGCAGAGACAGCTACAGCTTTAGGGATATTTAAAGTTCTCCCATTGATTGCTGGTTGCCAACAGAGATGCAATGAGTGTCTCTCAAAAAGTAGTTAAAACCATTTTGATGGTAAAACATTAGTCAGATCATTGAGCATTATGTACTATACTCAAATTCAAGATAGAAATTACCTTTATAAAAACAAAATTAAAGGTAAGTTATAACAAATCACAGAATCCAAAATTATATCATTATTTAAATGAACATAGTGAATTCATGTAAGTAAGAAATGGAGCTTTCTATACATAGGACAAATTAACTTGTTTCAAAATTTTCAAACACATAACTTGAACTGTATATGGTCTCAGAGTTTATTTATATATACTATGATGACTGCTAGAAAAAGTTTTTTGTGTGTGCAATGAGGTCTTTGCTATGTTGCCCAAGCTGTAGCATGGTGGCTATTCACAGGTGCCATCATAGCACACTATAGCCTGGAAGTCCTGAGCTCAAGAAATTCCCCTGCCTTGGCCTCCCAAATAGCTGAGATTACAGGCATGTCATCATGCCTTGCTAGAAAAAGACTATAAAAATAAACTGTGAAATACTTATTTTGAAAGACCAGCGATATCTACATTTATAGGCTTAAGACAAAAAATATTTTTAGCCAATGACTATCATCATGACAATAAAACATGATAATTCTAAATCCATTTGAATATAAGGAAATGATAGTAATGTCATGATATAGTACAATTTTTTCTATCAAATTTAATCAAACATGTTGCTTCAGCCATTACTAATCCAGGAAGACCAAAATTTAAAATCAGTCTCTGCTCATTTTATTGTTTAACTCTGGTACTAAGAGCAGTTATCTTTCTGTCCTATGTATGAAAGTTCTGAGTTTTCCTAAAGAAGACACCATGTCATTATCTTTGTGTCATCCTAAAGAAGACATGATAATCTAGACTAATTTTATTAAACCCTAAATTTGTGAAGTTTGTTTGAAGAAGGGAAATCAGCTCTCTTTTAATGTGCTACATTCCTCTATTTAACCTGAATGAATATACTTGATATTTACATGCCCCAATGGGTATAGGGAAAAAGAAAAAAAAATGATTAAGGGTTTTTTAAAAAATGCTTACAGCATTACTAAAATTATCACTATTCTTTTTTAAGGGTGAACCAGGAAAACCAGGAGAACAAGGCTTGATGGCAAGTATCTCAATTTAGCTTTTTCTATACTAAGCCAGGTTATTTAAAACTATGGTCAAGATTATGTGTGACAGATGTATCTGTGATATGACAGACTATAATAAAGAAAATTAGTAAAAGTTAAAAGTAACACAGCCTATCTACTACATGCTAAGTGTCATGAGACTACATATTTACATTGGTGATGCAGGAGAAAAAGAAAGAGAGTCCAGGTGTGGGAAGCAACAGAGACCCTGGAGGTCAAAGGAGATGATTTAGTTAATGACTCTGCTGTAAGAGATTAAATTTAGGGGCATGCCTATTAGCTTAAATAGTAATAGAAATTCCATTTTCAAAGGGATCAGGTCTGACTAAATTAGCACAGCAAACTTTGCAAAATGATTCAAAGAGTTATTTCACTGTTGTAAAATAGTTGTGTCTTTTGGTTTTCTGTCATTAAAAAAAAAAAAAAAAATGGTCCCGAAATGATTCCACATGGACTTACTCATAGACACACAGGTCCCAATTCCCCATGATTTGTTTATCTTTTGCTGGTAGAAAAGATGTTTGGTCAGGTTGATGAGTCGGAAAGAGTAGAATTCCTTCAACCTACCTCTTCCTGTCCCCTTCCCTCTCTCTCGTGAGCTGCCGCTCTAATCTATGTTATGATATGAACAGTACTGGGAATCACAGGGTAACTCTCTAATAACCTAAATGCCTGAGGATGGCTCACACTCATCCTGGATACTGAAGGAGTGGGCCCAGAGATTGCCAGAAAGCTGGCAGGTAACCACAGTGAGCTTGACACTGTCCATCCTGCAAAATGTTTGGCATGCAGCATGCAGATTTTCAAAGTATAGAATTTAGACCAGGCATGGGGACTCATACCTGTCATCTTTGCATTTTGAGGCCAGGGTGGGAGGATCACTTGAGCCCAGGAGTTTGAGACTAGCCTGGGTAACATGGTGAGACCCTGTCTCTAAGTGTATATATACATACACACACACACACACATACACACACACATATGTACACACACACACACACATATTCTAAATAAATATATATATATTTAAAAAACAGGTCCTAGTGAAACTAATGCATAGGGTCAGGAAGAAATAAGTCTTCCTTGGGCTTGAGATGCATTCAGCAGCTCTCCCAGGGAGTCAGCTGTCGGTGGAGCTGCCTTTGCAGGATCCCTGGTGAAATGAAAGCACCCTGGGTCCAGATATCACCCACTGCCTGGAAATTCTCTGTTCCTAACCTGTAATATCAAAATACACATTTGATACAGATAATTTTTTGGTACTATAATGGATTTTTTGAAAAAGGAAAAAAGTGGAAGAAACAGGAAAAAGACCATATGTAAAACTTAAACAAAACCTTTGTCATCAGTAGTAACTGCATAGAAGTGTAGCGTTAGTTCTCAGTGGTATGGAGTTACAGAGTACAAAGAATTCTGGGAGAGTGACAATATGAATTTTGCAATTACTTTAAGCAATTGAAGGTATATGTAATTTTTTTCCTGGAAAATGGTGAAAACACATTCGTCCCGTATATTCTTATACTGAAAGATACGTGGGCTTCTCAGGAGGCTTTGTTTGTCCCCAGGTGTGCACAGATTACTCAGATTTTTATTGCTGGCCTTGGCTTTTTTCTCTGATGCCCAACACAGCATCCTAATATATAGTGTTCAAAAATTAAATAGATATATATTTTAAAAATTCTTATCTTCCTTGAATTTACATATGCTTTCTAAGATATATTCTGTGACTAACAATATAATCTCATTTTCTTACCATTCCCAGTTTGACAAAGTTGAATACAAATGTTTGACCTGATCCTAAATCACCTGCATTATTATCTTAGTGTGCTCCAATTCCCATTTCATATCAAAACTTTCTCAGGTGAAATAATACTGGATTTCTTTTTCTACAAACTTTTCTTCACTCTTTAAATTCTTAAGATTTAGTTCATGTTCTTATTTTTTAAATGCATTTAAGAAACCTAATGGAAATCACAAATGTTTCAAGGATATGGATATTAAATGATCTAAGTGGTATTTTAAAATTACTGTTTTTACAGATGTAAGATTCTTTTCAAAGAGGAAACTTCTTTAATGTATATAAAGAAAGGTAGACAAATTATAGTGTATATCCCAGTGAATTTTCACCAAGTGAACATAACTATGTAAAAATCAGATCAAGAACGAGGACATTATCCTAAACCCTCCTTTACCCCCATTACCATCCCAGAGGTAACCATCGTCCTGACTTCTGTCACTATACATTAGTTTTGCCTATATTTGAATTTTATGGTAATCAAATCCTACTGTATGTACACTTTTGTGTCTGGCATCTTTCATTCAACATTATATTTGTGAGATCATCAACCTCTGTTTTAATGACTTTCACAGCTTGTTTAAAAAAATAAGAGGAAGAACCATATTTCCTTGACTACCCCATTAAAACTACATCATTCTGATAGCAGTAAATGAATGAATGTCTGTCTGACCTTGGGCAAGTCACTTAACCTCTCAATTTCTCATCTGTGAAGAAAGGATAACAATACCCTCTCTGACTGCCTTAAAAGGTTGCCAAAGACAATGCAATAAATTAGGGGAAAGCACTTTAAAACATATAATGAAGAACTATATGACTATGTTGTTATGATTATCACTCAGTTGTTCTCTCTAGAGTAAGTTACAGGTGAGTGTGGATTTATATAACAGATGTATTCCTGCAGAGTTTTGTCTAAATCAGATTTTCTTATATCAACATATTTTGAATGTGCCAGGGAATTTTGCTGTTTAAAGAAATCCTATTCAGAATCTTTCTATAAATCAGTATAATCCCCTAATTCAGCTAACTGAATATCTATATTTTATGTTTCCTTAACATGAAATATTTCTCCAATCTAAAAATCTATCTTTTTAAAAAGAAATCATGATTTGTTAACTTGAATAGCACCTATATATTTTAACTCATATCAAAGAGAGAAGAGGATGCTAGAAATATAACTGCAATTTTAATGAGGAGGAAATTTTTCTTAGAAACTTAGAAATTTTCTTTCACACATTGTGTGTGTGTGTGTGTGTGTGTGTGTGTGTGTGTCCATGAACTTGAAATCTGGTAGGGAGAAAAGTATATTGTATCAGTAGTTCTGGTTTTAGAACTACTTAGTGGTGTATAACTGTAGTCTGTGATCCTTTTTACTGATCTATAAAATGTAGGTAATAATTCCTGTTCTACTTCTCTCACTGGGTTATGGTGAGAAGCAAGTGAAATGATAATATGGAATATTTTATGAACCACAAAGAGTTCCATAAATGAGAAGTATTACTATTAAAACAAATGTCTGATGACATAACTTGGCATACAGAAAGGCTGCTCTAAGAAATGTAAGAACTAAGAACAGTTGAATAGTAGCTACCAATTAAATTACAACATGTCAAATACTGCAATGAAGAGTGTAATGTATTGCTTTTGTCCTATTTGTTGTTGTTTTAGCCTTCTTCTCCTGTATATCATATCATCTTCCATTATCAATTTTTCATAACATTCCCCTTGTTACCCACTTATTAAGACAAACAAAACATAATAAATACCACTGCTCTCATTTCTTTCACATTATGTAAACCCTACTCCACTTGTTGGCTTGTGTCATGGAGGAGTGCTTGCTTACATAAGGGTCTTAAGAGGCACTAGAGAATTGTTATAAATTTAAAATGTCTCTGATGATGAAATGAAGAAGCTAGAAACAATCTAAAATTAGCTCTTGCAAAAGTGTTTATGAGTGTATCAGGTAGGGAATTAGTTTTCATAATCTAAGATATATAGTTTATATTGCAGAAGTAACCATCTGAAGATTAACAGCATCTATGATAGAATGAAAAAGAAAACCTGCAGCTCACACAGTTCCACATTTATTTAACCCTGCCATGCATCTATTCTGTAAACATGACCTTTGGGTTTTCAGAGATGTTCAGAATGACCTTTTGAAAGGCAGTTCTTGCACTTAAATAAATTTGCCTCTACCTAAATAAGAACTGCTGCATCTTATAAAAGTAGACCAAAGAATGAAATAAAGGAATGAACATAATTGGAAGTGATCACTTTCTGAATCCTAGTACAAATGATCTTTATCTTTCAGTTCTTCAGAAATTCAAATGGTTGTTAAAATAGTATTTTAATAGGTATGTTTCCTTTTGATATTCTGTTTCTTTCTTTGACAAATGCAGAAATTTTCAAAAGCGTAAAAGATAGATGGTATTTTAAAAAATATGCCAAATAGTGGCTGGGTATGGTGGCTCACACCTGTAATCTCAGCACTTTGGGAGGGCGAGGTGGGTAGATCACAAGGTCAGGAGTTTGAGACCAGCTTGGCCAACATGGTGAAACCCCGTCTCTACTAAAAACACAAAAATTAGCTGGGTGTGGTGGTATGTGCCTGTAATCCCAGCTACTCAGGAAGCTGAGGCAGGAGAATCGCTTGAGCCCGGGAGGCAGAGGTTGCAGTGAGCTGAGATTGCACCACTGCACTCCAGCCTGGGCAACAAAGCAAGACTCTGTCTCCAAAAAAAAAAAAAAATACACACACACACAAACTAGCTCCAGTTACATGTATACTATTTTTTGTTCCAAGTTGTCTATATCCAAAGTTTCAGAGACCAATTTCCTGTTCTGAAGTTCTTTATTCCTTTCTTCCCCTCCCCTACATATAAATAAGCTCCATAGCATATTCATTTATCTTGTACTGAATGATAAGAATACTTAAAATGTTCCTCATTGGGTCCTGGTTGTATCTGAGAGTTAAAACTCAGAGGCCGGGCGCGGTGGCTCAAGCCTGTAATCCCAGCACTGTGGGAGGCCGAGGCGGGTGATCGAGACCATCCTGGTCAACATGGTGAAACCCCGTCTGTACTAAAGCTACAAAAAATTAGCTGGGCATGGCGGTGAGCCGAGATCACGCCATTGCACTCCAGCCTGGGTAACAAGAGCAAAACTCCGTCTCAAAAAAAA